GCTTTCTGCGTAACTATTTCTTTGACGATACATTCCATTTATAATGTCAAAGTATTTCCGAATAGAGCAATTTTCTCCCAAACGGATCACTGACGAAAGTTGAACAAAATCTCGTAAATGTTAATTTTGTTGCAGGCGGTGTTTGCACTGGCTGTACTGTATTCTCTGGGTTGAAATACASTCTTTGGCCATTCTTCGCATTAACTGCGAGACACAAAACCGTCGGAAAATGTTCATGAACGCAAAGCGGTTTATTGCAGTTCACGTATCTACCGTATCTTTCAAGACCAATAACCGCCATGTTGCTTCCTTTGGTGACATATTTATTTAGAAACGTATTTTATCGATTTCATTAAACTGCAACTCAACATTGATATGAATTTTGAATCTGAATTAGTGGTGAATATAGTTCCACCCATGTGTTGTCAACTTTGAATGCTTAATGTTCATTATCGTCTGATGAGCGACGCCGATGGAGTGCATATCCATAATTTCGAGTGTGTGTTTCCGAAAGAAAAGCTAAGGTGCTTTAGTGTTTCGTGTATATATTGTCAGACATACAAACTGAAGTGGGATTATGATGTTCGCAAGGTCCATGAACCATATTGGTTTTCATCACCTCGTATAATACTGGTTCAACCTCCAAATCCACCACCCAAAAAAGAATGTGTGCGTGCGGCAAACCTTTTTTTGCAACTCAACAGAGTACATCCAGCATCTAACAGCACCATATATACCATACGTTGCTTTAAGATAAAGTCCATCAAACATCGTAAGCGTCGTGATCTGACATCGTGACAATCGCTTGCTGATTGACCGCGATCCATAGTTAGGCACGTATGTCATCGCATCCTGGGAGGAATCGTTCATGTGCCTTGCACTGCCATACGTTGATGACACAAAGTACGCCGACCGATATTAGCGCGACCACGAAGAGGATCGTAACAAATTTCTATCTGTAATTGATCACTTTGTGTCAAACACACATAACGTGGGCACTGAATAATTTCAATAATATTTTTTTTAAAAGCCAGAATAAAGAAAGCAAATGACAAATTTGAACGATTTAAATAATTAAAACCCAAAACAAAAAAATTAACGAAAAATTGTGTATGAAAAAAAGTAGCTTTTGGGAATTCTCCAATTTTCCGACTTCTCCACACGAAAACCTTGCGGTTTTACCTTACTAATAACTAGCACATTAAAAAAAGAATTATAAAATTTGGTTCAGTCGTATGAAAATTATGAGCGTGCATACAGTTTGGGGATTCATTTTTATTTATATATGTAGATTTGAATACTTATATTTGCGCGGATGTCACTTTTCCCCTCTAATACAAATATCAGAAATTGTTCAACTTGTGATTTTTAGCTTTTGCCATCGTCACGAAAAGACGTTTATAGGCAAAGGCATGCTTCGGGAGATGTAATGGTGTCTGTTTTTATGAATGAAGCAAGTTTGTCTGTTGAAAGCGCGCTTGCGTTCATGAATGCAAATATTGTTGTTGTGTGTTTCTCAACAAATTTGGGAATCGACTATTTGGCTGCCATATTGACTTATGACACTGCTGATGCTATTTGAGAAGACTACTGTTTTTGTATAACAATATTTGTAGTTTATGCGGGCGACAAATTTACATTTGGACGCAGATATGTATATGTATGCTTGTGTATGCATCAGTAACATGAGAATGTCATAAGCACATATTTACATGTGTACGCATATAAGTATGTATGATGCTATTTCAAACGATTGTTGTTTTTGTAAAGCAATTTTTGTTGTTTTTGTGGGTGACATATTTACATGTGTACGCATATTTGTATGTTGGTTTGTATATACATTATTTGTCCGGCAATTTCGTACACATACATATGTATATGCATCTACATATAGAGAAGTGTGCGAGTTAATCTCGTTTCCACGATATAAGTGTGAGAAAACAATTTTATTTCTACGCCGCAATGCGTGCCTGGCACGATTCCGATTACTTTGGCGGAGGGGTAAAATACCGAATTTCCGTATAAATGGGGTATGTCCGGATAGGGGAGCTTCTCCAGAGGAGGAATATTCAAAAATATTATAAAAATTACTTATATTTTTTAAAATTTTCACGATTAAAAGTTCAAAAATATGCACTAATAACATAAGGTATTTCTTTATCTTCCATTAAATGTATTCACGTTTTTCACTCTGTATATTTAAATATACACTCTAAACATTGAAATAGGTTCACATTTCAATTTTATTTTGTAATATTTCACCTAAATTTATTAATTTAAAAATCACTTAGAGAATTCGGCGTTGCAGAGGTTAGATTGTTTACAACTATGAGCAAAATGAGCGTTGCCACATCTTAAACACCAAATATGTAGGATTCTTAACGATTTTTCTTTGTTTGTTTTTTTGCGTGATTCTTTTTTCTACATTAATTATAATAAAAAATACTTTCTAATATTTTTTGATTTATAATTAAGTTGTGAAGACTTTTTGCACATATTATACATTTTACATATAGTATGTATATGTGTAATATGTGATTTATATTTAATAAACACATATAACTAAAACTTTATGATAATATAGTATTATAAATTTTTATAATATCATGTCGGGATGACTGAAGTACTTTAAAAAAATAACCCTGGTCGAGCGAATATCCCGGTGGACTGAAGTACTTTCGCGTAGTACACCTTTCAGTGTTAAAAATAAAAAAATATATTGAGTTTTTGTTATAAAGTGGTTATATTTGTTGGTTACCATGAACTCATATTGAAATAAAATTTGAATTTTCGTTATAAAATGAATAAAATTTAGTTATTATATCTGTTGATTACCATTATTACGTAATATTATTATAAAATATTACTTATACATATGTATATACAATATTATTATACCTGTCTCTTATACACATCTAGATGTGTATAAGAGACAGGTACTATACTAACATACTTTCCACTTTATTACGTAATATTATTATATAATATTACTAATACATGTATACAATATTACTTATTTGCTTAATAAATTTAAAAAAGAAAATATCCATATGCATGAATAGAGGAATTTTTGCGAAAAAGAGGAATTTCAGCGAATTGCCTTATCATCACATGGTAGAGCGCTGCCAATTTTCGTCGAAAGTTTTGGTAAAGAAATGGGGTTAAAACGAGTATAAAATGTAATTTTTAAAATGCAGATTTTTTAGGTAAAAAAAAACCTGCTAAAAGTGTAAGTTATGGAGTTATTTACAAGTTTATAGTGTAATTTAATTAATTTGAAGTGAAAAATGTGAATAAAGTGTGTTTAATGTGGTGAAATAGCGTCTTGAAATGTACGAATCTTGCGAATTTTTGAACTTTAAGGTCGAATATCTCCTAAACTAAGCGTTTGCGGTACCTATAACCATGTATATTTTTTAATCAGGAGGACTTCCTCTTTCCTACGGTACCTTCAGATCGCGGCGCCAAAAAAATCTTATACCCCAGACAGACATGAGCATGAAACCATACACCAGCATAGTGACACACATCTAGTATGCCTACCTAGTACATTCAACAGCTGACGTAAATTTTTTTAAATATATAAAACGAAAATGGACGTTACCAAAGTGATAACCGCAAACTACCAAMAAATATTGTATTATCGGAGAAAAAAAAATAAATATTTTACATTAGGTCTTAGGGCTTTCAAATCAAGCAAAAAATATATCAGGCTTCCGTTAGAACAAAGAATTTTAAAAAGATATTGAACTTGCTGCTCAGTGGTAAATATTAAACGGGTAGTTTTTAACACATAAAGAATTTTTTACCTAATAAATGGAAAATTCTCAATTCTGGGGAAGGGATGTTCAGCTATTCAGCGAGGAAAAATTTGAAAATGCATTCCGAGTGAGCAGGGAGATGTTTTTTTATTTAGTGGACGCATTAAAAAATGTGCGCAAAGGGATATCTATTGGYGTAACGCCATACCACTTGAAAAACGAATTGCTGTCGCTTTATACACGTTAGCTTCTTCCGCAGAATATAGAACAGTTGGTAGTCTTTTTGGAATCGGTCGCACAACAGTAGGAGCAATAGTGGTACAAGGTTGCGAAGAAATATGCAGAGTGTTTAAGAATGAAGTWTTCGATGCATATCCGCCGAATGACGTGAAAGTGAATGAAATAGTCTRTGGTTTTGAACATTTAGGATTCCCGCAATGTTATAACGTAATGTATGGTGCCACATTGAAATAAAGCCTCCAAAAAACGAAGCCAGCGATTATTATATCTTTAAAGGGTGGTACTCGACGGTTTTATTTGCAGCAGTAGACTATAGATGCAGATTTACTTATATCAATGTTGGTACACCAGGACGAAGCAATGACTCCACATTATTTGAGCAGTCGGCTTTGAAAAAGTGTCATTCCGATAACGAAATTTTTAAAAAATATGCAAAAACAATCGAAGGCATTGAGGTGCCGATACTCCTTATAGGAGATTCAGCATTCAAACTGTCTAAATACGTTATGAAACCATTTCCATTTTCTGTTAGTCAACCAGAAAGTGAAAATATATTTAACAGACGCATTTCATCGTGCCGAAGAGTTGTGGAAAATGCTTTCGGACATTTAAAGACTCGCTTCAGACAAATTGGTCGAGGTCTGGAAAATAAATGTTAACCTTGTCATAAAATCTTGTTGCAATATTCATAACATATGCAACAATAGAAATGACACTGTCAATATGCAATGGATTCAACAAGCAAACGCTGGAAATAGCGGAAGGCAACCTCATAGAGCACACATAGACAGACAAGAAATCATTTGCGGAATTTAAATTCGACAGGCAATTACGACACATTTTATCCACGGTAAATATTATTTGTAATTTTCACAAAGAATTGATATTTTTTTATTTAAATATGTTTATTTAACATAGCCATAAGAACGGCGTTGGTTTGCTCCATCAATTTGAGGGCCTTTTCCTCATTTTTCAAAGGTTTATTGAAATAAGCTTCCATCATCTTTTGCTCTTTTTTAGCCAGTTCGAGATAATTGCAGCCGACGAAGTTGATGGTGCTTCTTCAGGTCCACTTTCATTTGACAATGAAAATGCCGCCATCGATGTGTCTAATGGATCCGAAACTGTGGAATAAAAGATGTATAATACATAYATTGAAATTGTAATATTAAAATAAAATAATTGCTATTTCAAACAAACCATTTTCAATGCTTTCGTCGGCCAGTTCGTGTGTGAAATTTGATTTATAGCTGCCAATTATTTTGTGTATGTCGTCGTAGAATTCCCAATTAGATGGGGCCCCTCCGGTTGGGCCCACAGCCTTGCGTTCCTGTCTGATATGTTTAAACTATCACATACTTATTATTATTGTATAATTATTTACAAACCTGTACTTCTTTGTTAAATTATTAATTCGATTCCGCAGCTCGGCTGGCGCTAGGAAAACACCATGTTCATTTACAAGTTGCGTGCTCATTGCCGAGTAAATGTGGCTATTTTTGTGAACTCCACGCAGTTGGGAATTAAATTGTGCCCACACTTCAATTATATTTCTTATTGCGACATTCCCAATATATTTTGTTTGGACTTCTCCATATTTTTTGCCTTACCGCCACAACTGATAAATTTATTTATATTTTATTTTGTCAGCTGGCAGAGAAAACATATGATTTTGACAGAATGAGYTTTAAAGCTTTGGGTGTGTTCAATGCGATCCATCGTAGTACATTGCAGAACACCACTGAATTTCAATGGTATGTAGTATGCTATTGTAGTACGGAACTCTATTTGCTTTGGAACAAAAATGTGAAATACTGATGACACACATATAGGTTCTATATTATACTACATTATGTACTACATGTGTGTCTTGGGTATTAAGAACTGATTTTAATATAAGATCTTATTATATTAATACTAGTGAAATGCGGCTGCTGTTATCTGCTTACAACTTCTTTGTTGTAATTCGATGTCTGTTATCTTGCTATCACTTGTTTGTCGTAGAAGAGATGCGGAAGTGGTTATCGCAGTGGATTATTCCATTGCCAGATGTTTGTTGTTTATATGTCGAGACTGCATTTCTAGAGAATGCATTTTTGGTTGGTATTCTAATAATAATTCATTTCTATTGTTCGACTGATAGTGCATGTCAAAACAAGTTCTATCGGTTTACATAGTTCGTCTTTGTTTAGGATGTAAGTTAAGAAATTTATAGTTAATTTCTTTTTAAACAATTTTTATTTTATCTTCATTGTTCGATTACAGAGCTAAGACTGACACTTAAAAATTAATTTACTTAAAAGCTATGCTAAGTTGCACTGGCCAACTGCTGACACGATGTTGTTGCCAAGTCTCTGAATTGACTTATTTTGGTTGCGCGTGTTGGACTTCCGCTTCACACCGAAAAATGAGCCTTTATGCTRATGAAAGCATCTGGCTTTTGCTGTGGGAAATATTGTGCAACTAAAGATGCATTTCCGCTATGCTTTACTCATTATTGCTGATTACGCGTTCTTGCTTTTATTTAGTAATTGGTAACATTTACCATGTTAAGACTTCCCCTCTTAAAAGCGATCGTCCCGAGAGCCTGTCAAAAATAGGGGAGGTTGTTAAAATTGATGTAAGTATTTTGATCATTGGAAAGATCTTTGATCTCCTTAAGATCAATATTCGCTGGGGGCATCTGATTAAAGTCCAGGCTTGAAGATATGATTATTCTGTTATGGTGCTTTCTCCAGAACTTTTTAAAAAATATTATACCGAGAATGATAGTTGCAACGGCTCCAAGTGAAAGGGTGCTATTGGATATCGTTGCTGTCTTCAGAAGATTTATTCTTCGTATGTTATCAATATGAAACTCCTTTAAGGCCTGGAGAGAAAGTAATTCAATTCGATTTCTATCGATTGGTGCTGGTTGCAGGACAGCTACCAAATAAAATATTGTCATATTTTGACTAATTGCATTTATATTTGATATTTCTAGAGCATCTACAGCATTTTTGAAAGGTATTTCGTCATTTTCTAAATTTTCCAACGCAATTTCGGTTTCATTTTTATTTAACAATAATGTATTTAAAATATCTTTCTTTGCCCACTGCATGGCGTATTTAATGTTAATCAACTCTTTTTTTATTAATCTTATTCTATTTTGCAAATTTATAATAGTCCCATTTTCTATATAAGTATCTTTATTTATGGATCTTTTCTGTCTTCTTTCGACAGGTTTTATTGTACCTAAAATTTGAAGAGATTGGGTTAATTCGTGTTTTAGGATGGAATAAAGGATTGTGTCCTTGGGTATGTCTGAAGAGGTGAATCTGGACACGTCCGTCAGAAATTGTTCGTACTTGTTGAGGTCGATTATGTGTATTAGCCTGAAGTCTCCATTCTGGATTTTTACTAGTCCGTCATTTATCGTAACTATTTGTGCCGTGGAGTAGTCATAAATGTCTATTGATGCGAATATTGGGTAAATAAGGAGGAGTCTGGAAACAAAAAATTTATTTTTGATTTTTTATATTGCGTTTATGAACTACTTTTCCTGATTCTGTCAAAACGGTGGAATTTTTGTCTTCCTTTATTATTTCTTTTCTAAATTTTGAAGATATTTTGGTTGCCAGTCGTTTGTTTATCTTAACGTACATTGTTTCTCCAGGGTTATATGTTTTAATTGGATGACGGGCTTTATTATGGAGGAAAGATCTTTTAGTTGTCTATTTTTTAGTTCCGAAATAATTTCTTCCCTACCTCTTTCAAATATACTTGGGTCTGTGGAGATTCTTCTCCCAAAAAATACCTCTATTAGTTTTTTCTTTGTGGAGGAGTGGACTGAATAATTGTACTCGTAGACGGAGTTATCGAGGAGTTCGGCGAATGAGGTGAAACTTCGCTCTGCTTTTAAACAGCGCATTATTTCTGTGAAGGTCGAGTGAAATCGCYCTACTTGATCATTTACGGAACTTGCATAAGGTGGTGTTCTAAAAATTTGTATATTTAGGGTAGGGTATAAAAAGTCAACTGATAGCTTACTACTAAATAACTAATTTTTAACTAAATGCTAATTAACCAACTTGTAGTTAACTTAAATAAATAGCTAATATATAGCCAACTACTAAGTACCTAACTTTAAGTTAGTTGAAAAGTCATGCAGAGTCGGATAATTGACTACTGCCTAGGACATCGCAATATTAAAATAGTCAGTTGGCTCAATGAAAAATAGCCCAAGTATCAACCGCCTCTAGTTGCGAAATAGTTAGATTAAAGTGCATTAAAAGTTATCTGAGTTGCCGGCAGGGTATGTATGTATGTACATATGTAAATACTTACAAATATTCATACGCCTGTGAAAAACTTAGAGCTAAGTCGCTAAAAACACAAAGCACAAAACATCAAATGTATATGTACACATGTACATACATATGTGCACTAGGGAATCCCTTGTCTATCACAACCATACCAACATAAATATGACTTCAGCCAAACAAAGAAATACGTGTATATGTATGTGGCTACAAAAAGTTTTAAAATATGAATGAAGCAAAAACAGCAACAACATACGTATCAACACATCTTCCCACACAAGCGTCGCTGTCCATAAACTATTTCTCGTCACGGTGGCAAAACTGCTTAAAAGAAATGTTGCAACAGTGCAGCTCAACAAAAATGACAAAAGAATGAAAAATTCTTGTTTTACAATTTATTCTCATGGAAGAATGAAAGGCAAAAATTAAGAATAAATTCTGCCGAGATTCGAACCTCTGTACTCATCCTGACTTCTCAAACGCTTCAAATAATTTTGCATGAGTATAGAAATATGCTTTTGTAGAGCATTTGCTTTCGCAAACATACAGACAAATGTGCAAACGACATAATATGTATATGTATGATTGTTTCGTATTTTGCTTCTACGCCGGTTAAATTTCTATACAAAAATCAACTGAAATGCATGATAAAATAAAATAGACTATGACAGCAATTCATTTTTAAAAATTTTATTGAAAATTAAATAAAAATGAAACTACATGTAAATTTATTTAAATTTATTAATAAACTGTAAAGAAAAATAACATTTTAATATTTAATATGATTTAATATAAGATCATAAGATCAAATTATCATTAAATAATTTGAAAAATAATAAATCAAAAATTAATAAAAGTTCTACATACATGTTTCCATACAAAATGGAACATATTTCCCACGGAATATCAAAGAAATTATTTTTCTTCAAAATTCTCTGTTTGGGAGTATCGTCATGGGCATGAATACCTATGTACATATATTTATGTCTCTTCATATTCTTGGGTATATGAGACAGAGAACACAATATAAAATGTCTTTATGTTCTTTGTGTGAGAGGTGTGTTTTGTACGCATTTTTCGCTGTTTAAAGTGGAATATCAAAGAACTTATTTTTCTTCAATATTATCTATGGCATGTCATTATAGGCCGAAAATACATATATGTATTTATTTCTCTTCATATTCTCTGTTTGAGTATGTGAGAGAACTGCTAAAAATTTTAACATTTCACAGCGTGTATTCCGTAATTGTGAGGTGAAATTCCGTATCACAATCTTATAAAATGTTCGACATCGAACTTGCACTTTCTCTATGTTTTAAGTTCTCTGGCCAGAGAACGTAAAGTATAGAGAAGGTGCAAAT